TGAGTAAAGAAGTTGCATTTTTTATAGACAGAATATGCCCACTGGCTTTTGTATTTTAAATGAAAGCACAGAAGAAGATTTCCTGCATTCAGTTGATAAACTGGTGCAGTTGACAAATCCAGGACACTGGATTTTTGTCATTTACCTTGTTTACCCTGAACTGCAATAAATGCTAACCAAAGATGGTAAAAAAATTTCTGTTAAAATTAAAGATATTCAGTTTTGAGATACTTTAATTTCCCCTACCAGTGTCAGAAGGAAGCTTCACTTTTAAGTGTTTTAAGTGGGCTGCATGTCTTGTTCCCTATGCAATTTTGTGTGTCTTCACCACCAGGGGCTTTATTTAGCCCTAAATTGATTCTTTGAAGGGGTTCATGGACCAGAGGTGCAGAACCACTTGTATGACTGGTAGCTAGCATCAAGCCATTCTTGCTTCTCTATATACATATATCTAGTTTAGACCTAAAGCTATGCTTTTCAGAAATTTATTATGATGAAGAAGAAGATGTCACAAGACCCAACCAAACAACAATAAGCTTTAAACCATCTGAAGGTTGATTTAGGCACATAATAAATGCAAGCTTCCCAGGACAGGCACCAGCACCTGCCACTACTTGCTTCCAGTGGCACATGCAAAGTTCTGTTTCTAAAACATTTCTTGCTTATATCACCTCCTAATATTAATAAGATCACACATAGCAGTTTCAGCTGTAAATAGGGATGCATTTGTTGGGGTTTTGTCCTTCACCACCTTTGTTTTTTTTTTTGATCTCAGATTAATTATCATCTTCCCTTCTACTGTCAAATAATAACTGGATACAGAATAACAGGACTATAATGTCACATCCATTTCAAGGCCTTCAGACTTGCAGTGCTTCTTTTTGGGCTAAAACTTCCTCCAGAGACATAAAATCCATTTGGCGAATAATCCATGATACAAGAGAAGGTGAGGCAGGAGCCTGCTACAGGTGCCTCTGATTTCCTGGTGTGAGTGTTCCTGCACCGAGAGCAGTGTGAGTTCTGGTGCCATCCTCAGACTCTTGTGGGAACTGGCACCTCCTGCCTCTCCTGTGCCTTCCTGCCAGGCTGAGTGACAGTCCTCAGAGGGCAAGAGGAGTGGGAGGGGAGCACAGCTCATGCCTTGGACTGCGGGAGGATTGCTGAGCTTCTGGCTGCTTTCTCTCTGCTCAGAGTATTTCCCAAGAGAAAAACTTCTTCCCAGCATGGCAAGTGGGTAAGAGACAATCATACAAATTCTCCTCTAACAGGCAGCGTAGGGGGGATGGGATATTTTTCTGTATAAGGGTGAATATTACATGACATGCAGCACAGCAAGAACCCTCTTCCTCTTTCTATTCTGTTTTACTGACTCACTGCAGTGTACAACATTGTTGAGGCTACTCAACCACTAGCTTAAAATAAAGGTGATGGTAAAATCAGATTGTGCTTAAATATAGCTGATAACTCAGAATCAGTTCTTCAGACATCAATTGCCTGCCCAGGACCTTGGCAGATTGTTCCACTCTCATGTTTGCCCCTTGACATTGCCTTTTCCTTTCCACATACAAAACCTGCCTTATGTATTTTTGGTATTTTAAATACCAGCTTTACATGAAAAAAAAATCACTGGACTCAAATAGAAGATGTAGACACTGGCATAAGATGAAAATCTAGAGAATTGTTTCTATCTTCTGTTAGTAATAAAAGCTGTTCCATGTATTTCACAACATTTGAACTAAGTCTTTTAAATTATTGGAAACTTCTTGTACATGGCTGCTCATCAGGTGTTCCAAATCCCTTTCTTCTCTGTATAAAAGTTAAAGGCTGTATAAAATTGCATATTGTTGAAAGGATCTCTGAAAGTAAATTTACTTTGGAGAAGGTGCTCAATCAGACCTTATTTGCAGGGCTTCATGTGACCCATTTGCAATACCTGTTCTTCTTGCTCTAACACTGTTGACTTTCTCACATTATTAACCACTGACCTTTAATTCTTTTCATGTCTTGAATAATTTCTGATTTATAGCAATAACGTCTTCTTCTTGGAGCATTGTTTTGGGTAGAATGAAGAAGAAAATGGAGATGTTAGATTCTTTGGTTCTAAACACACTGCTGGTGCATCAATTGCTATTGCAAAGAGCCTCCCCCAGGTTTTCTCAGCTCTTAAAAGTGCAGACTGAGTGTTGTTACTGGGGTGGTGCTTTGCTCACGTGAGCACATCCAAGCAAGGCTCCAACTGGACAAAATCCAATTGGCCAGACTTCTCGCACAGAAATAATTAACTCTATGTGCAAGCATAAATCTAACAACTCAGAGCTTTCACACAGGGAAAAGATTGAGAACTGATGATAAAAATCTCTGGTTTGAGTCACCCATGCCATTGTGTTGAAAACCAGGGAGAAAATATGCAATACCATTTTCCAGAACAACCTTACCTACATGCTGGTGTGTCACGGATTTGCGTGAAGGTGTTGGGCATCTTCTCATTTAAGTTGTCTCACCTTGCATGTGTAAGCTAAGTTTATGGCCCCTTTTAAAGAGATACAATCCAGAAAGAGTTTTACAAGGTGACTGTATAAGTTGCTAGACAAGATTTTGCTTTGGCAATTATATTTTTTCAGTCTTCAGTTACAGCATAAACAGGTGCTCTCTCTGTTTGGACAACAGAAAGGAGAGGAAAAATCCATGATGATATTGTAGTAGCACCTAGCAGAGATAAAGGACAGTAGAGGCTTTTACATTGTAAAATTTAGTGATTTCAATTTTGGGACAAGTTTCCTGAATGGAGAAATACTAGTAGGAGAAGTATATTTATAGGACAAAAATGAGGATTGAAATCTGTAGGTACACTCTTATTGTAACCCTGAATAGACACCTTGAGCTCATGTGATATTTCATAATATTTCTAAAGGAGGAAGGTCAAATCTGCTAAGAGCAGACTGAGAGCAAGTGGGTATTAAAGAGATGATAGATCTCTCCTAGATAGGTGACTGTTACCAAAATATACACATACTAAAAGATATGTATATAAAATACTGTATCTGAGAAACAAAATATTATAATAAAACCCGAGTGACACCCTCCCTAATGTTCCACATACCTGGGTGTTCAGCAGGCAGCAGACTCCTCTTCACAAGCAGTAATTCCTTCCAAAGTAAAAACTCTATTAAACATAATATGATGGTTCTCAAACAGGATAAACTGGTACAGAGGAGCAGACAGCAGGAGGGTCCAGAATACATCACAAAAGTGATCCCATAAAATTAGGGCAGTCCAAGGTAAAGGCTTGAAGTTTGAAAAACATCTCCAGTACTGTTCTGTGAGCTCACCAGTCCTGTCCCTGGGCCTTCAGCTGAGCTGCTGAAGTGAGCAGTTTTCTGTTTGGTGTTGGTTTGTAGGCTCTTTCAAGAAGGGCTTGCTCTTCATAAGACTCCAGAAAGAATATGGAAGCATGGCAGGAAATAAATAAAACTGCTGCTGTTGGTGGCTGCTGAGGCAGCTCCCTGTGACACTGAGCAAGGGCCTCCTTTGGGCTGCCCAGCCAGTGCTGACAATGCCCCACTGACTGCACAAGCAGAGCCTGAGTTTTGGGCAAAGGCTGAATGAAGCTCCTCTGGGACAGCTTCCTTCTTCTCCACTGTGAGATCCATGCAAGTACCTGTACCCAGCACAACTCTTCCTTCACATTCCTGTTTAACCCGGGCAACGAACATGTCCTTTGGCTACCAAACACTAGATTTTTTAATCTTTTTCCTTTCTTCAGGTATTGACATGTGTTCAAGCCCAGTTAAAAATTCAAGTGATCTTTTAGGTTTCCCATCCACAGCTATCCCAAAGTACCAGAGAACCCAAGGGAAAATGGACCGTGCCTCCAGCATCGCTCAGGGACACAGCGGCTCAGATCCACAGCTGCAGGCAGGCTGAGGTGTGGCAGCTGCTATAATTATGGTTATCTGCCCTGCCCTTGTGCCTTTGCCACAATCTTTGTTTGCTCTTCCTGCTAGAGAGCATGGAATTTGCCACTGGCAGGAGGATGCAGGAAGTTATCTCTATCCTGAGCAGAACAGAAGGAGAAGACATAACACTAATCAGAGGTTCAGAGCTGGGCTTGAACATGCCTTGGTTCAGTCTGGGAAAACCAGTTGTTAAAATCATGGCAGGTTGCTCCAAGAGCTTTTTGAAAGAAATACCAATTGTTGACAGATTTCTGTACTTTTCTTCTTTTCTGGAAAACATCTCTTTTGGAGGAGAATTCAAAACTATCAAGTGGTTCTTCTCTGGGCTTTGGTGCATGTGTTGGTTTGTAACTGATTGATTCCACTCTCAGTTAATTAAAGATTAAGCCACCTCTCTTTTTCTCCACTCTGTTGTCCTGATCCCCTCTTAGTGTGAACATAATGTACTTGAAACTGGAGCTACCTCTGGGCGCTTCATCACAGTAACAGCCTGTCATGGTTTGACATTGGCCAAATACCAGGCACCCACAAGAATCATTCCCTCACCCTCTCCTACCACAGCTAGGTAGAGGAGAGAAAAAAATGAACAAAGGGTTCATGAGTTAAGGACCATAAGAAAACACTCCAAGGCCAAATCAGGTTCAGCTTAGAAGTACAAAGTGAATTTATTACTAACAGAGTCAGAAGAAGATAATGAGAAGCAAAATAAGCCATTAAAACACATTTTCCCCCCAAGCCCCTCCCTCCTTCCCACCAACAGTGCAGGGAGACAGGCCATGGGGGTTTTTGATTAGCTCATCACCCAAGATCTTCTTCTGCTGCTCAGGAAGAGGAGTCCTTCCCCTGTGAGACTGTGGGGTTCCTTCCCACAGGAGACAGTTCTCAGTGAACTTCTCCAGTGTGGGTCCAAATCCCACGAGCAGCAGTCCTCCCAAAACTGCTGCAATGTGGGTCTCTCTCTCCACGGGGTGCAGTCCTCCAAGGACAGGCTGTTCCAGCTTAGGATCAAGGGGCCCCTCTCTCCAGTGGGTCTTCCACTGGATCATGGCCTCCTCCAGGTATCCACCTGCTCCAGCATGGGCACCTTCCCCACAGGCTGTGGGTGGATCTCTGCATTCCCCATGGATCCCCATGGGCTGCAGGGGCACAGCTGCTTCACCATGGTCTCACCATGGCCTGCAGAGGAACCTCGACTCTGGCGCCTGGAGCACCTCCTACCCTGCTTCTGCACTGACCTTGGGTCACCATCTTGTTTCCCGCACATATTCTCACTTCCTCCTCTTCTCTGGCTAGGAATTGAGCTGTGCCCAATTTGTGCTGATTTTCTTCTTGAATCTGTTATGACAGAGGCCTTACCATCCCCTCTAAGTGGCCCAGCCTTGGCCAGCAGCATGTTCACCTTCAGAGGCACCAGGGATTGGCTCTGCTGGACACAGTGGAAGCTCCCAGCAGCTTCTCACAGCTGCCACTTCTGTCCCCTCCCCAGCTACCAAAAACCAGGCCATGCAAAACCAACACACAACCCTACCTAAATTTTTTTGATAGATGGATGGACAGACTTCTGAAAACTGTACACTATTATGCTGGACAAGACTCCATTAAAAATTAGGGAAGGAGAAGCTGGGGTAGGTATGTGCATCAGAGATCAGTGCATGAGGGATTTTTATTGTATGCAGACATCGTGTTTAGAGCCTTACTTACCCTTTGTCACCATTACCTTTATGCTGGGATAATCCCATGGCAAAAGAAAACATTTTGTGTGGAATCTTGCTTGAAGGAAGAAGGGAAGAGTTTATAAGATTGCTGTGAGAAAAGCATCATAGGGAGAATTTTTTGCTTCCCTTTCTGTTGGCAGTGTTGCTGCATTCTGGGAACAATCTCCTGCTTGCCTCTGGTTTGTGCACAGAATCCTCAGGAATGAAACACCACCATCTTCCTTTTTGTTTCATTGCATGGAAAACCACAGGAACTTATCAACAAGAACTTTGTTGTCTGACAGTCTTAGGGAAGACTCAGGTTTCCTTACAGGTTACCTGCATTCTTTAAAAAGGAATGTGGACCATGAGTATTGCGGGTTTTGCAGTGGCACTGACAGGAAGATGTGGGGAGAAAGAGAAACTTGATGCCAGGATGATATCCAGAACATGGAGAGGCATTAGAAGACTCTACAAGTGACTTGCAGAAATAACAGCATGTGCTTTTTTTTCTGCCTTACATGCATTCCTCTGTATTTCTTGGCAGGAAGGCCTTAAATCATGAACTTTCTAAGCTTTTCAATGAGATGTGGGATGCAGATGTTCACCGCCTTAGGCCTGGGAAAGACTACACAATTGATGTGCAGGTAACCAATTGCCAAGTCAGGATTAAGGGCAGTGTGGTGCTGCAGAAAAAGGTGCCTGGAAAAGTGCCTTTTGCTGAAAAAGTTGTGCTTTGTCATGTCCGGTGGGGAAAGCATCCCTTAAGAGAGAGAACAATACAGAGAACACAAATGGTTCACACTTACCTGGACCTTGGTTACAAGTGGAGTCTTTCAGGTGTCTGTCTTGGGTCCTGTAATATTTCATCTCCCTATCTGTGAGCTGGAGGAGGAACAACTAGCGTGCAGCCCTTCCAGTTTTGCAGATGACAGCAAACTCTAGTGATGAAGTTGGTATGCTCAGATGCAGGGCTTCTCTTCCACTGGACATAGGCAGGCTGGAGGAATATGCTAGGGAAGGAACACCATGAAATTTAAAAAAAACAAAGGAACAGGATGCTCAGAGAAGCTGTGAAATCTCCATCTTTGGAGGCTTTCAAGGCCCAAAAAGATGACACCCTGAGAAATAGTCTGAATTCAGTGTTAACCACACTTTGAGCAGCACTAGAGATGTTCTGCTCCACCCTGTGTGTTTCAGTGTGTGAGTGACAGCTTGTGTGTGGGGTGTGGGTGACTTGCAGGGAGGGAGAAAGGGAGATAGGTCCCAAGTCATTCTTAGGGGAATAAGGGAGGAATTTGAGAAATTCCTGGGTTTCTCTGGGAGACCAGGGAGTAGCAGAGAGGGGTGGGTGAAGATTTCAGGACTGTTGCTTCCAGTCCCAGGGAAATGTGAGAGAGGAGTGAGAGATTTCATAAGCAGCCATTTCACTCCTTGCTGGCTCAGTGCAGTGCAAACATGACCATGTGTTTTGGCCACAAATTGCAATAGGCGAAAATATTCACAGTCCAATTTTGTACTCACACAAGAACTCACTTTATTCTGATGTTACTCAAACACGTTATTCTGATGTTACTCAAGCACTTTATTCCAATGTTGCTTCATATTATAACAGATAATTTCCTGTTGGTGATAAACTTGAAATAGTGGTACCTACCTCAAGCCAAATTGTGTGTGGGGAAAACTTCTGCCATATGGTTTCTCCATTTGTCAGAATAAGGCTCTAGTACCTCTTGCCTGTGTTAACAAGCTGCTACTCATCTACTATCTTCTTTCCTTCAGAAAGCCCTTTATGAAATAGAAATTTGAAAATTATCAGGAAAGCCTCTTTAAAATTGCAGAGACAGAAGGCACCCAACTCTCCTTATTATTTATTTGTGGTGGGAGGGACCACATTACTTGCTCTACATTACTTCTGTTTACCATTTGTGATTTATATAGTATAATAGCACAGCTGGTTACTGAGCAGAACTGAACTATCACATGGGCCATTACAATAATCTCTGAGGAAACAGAAATTTCAGGCTCTTACAGATGTCAGAGATTGTCTTTTTTCTTTATGCTGGCAGTTCTGTAATATTGTCTCTCATTTCACAGGAAGACAATTCCTAGCAAAGAATCCTGATGGCATTATGGGGTTTGGTTTGATTATCACAAAGGCAGGCACTGTTTCCTCTAAGGACATCTTACTCCTTGTTTTCCTCCATTTTTGCTAGGGAAAAGCAGGTCCAGCACAGCAAGGGGACAGGGCTGTCCAGGACAACGCAGCCAGACATCTGTTTCACAATGTAAACGAAGAACACCTGAGGAGCATAAAAACTTTTGCAAGTGAGACCTGTTCTTTTGTTAATGGTGGATGTGATATAAAAAATCTGTGCTGTATTTGACATGTTTGCCTAAAATATAACATTGTATATAATTTGGACGGTGGTGAGGATCATCAGACTGCAGGTCATTTGAAGGGAGTTTTTGTAACAGTTGCTTGGAGATTACCTGTACCTGAGCCTCGGGAGAAGGATCCTTTTGTGCCCCAGGCAAAATCTGAATTCTCTGTCTCTTTCCACTACAAAGTAAAAGGGATGAGACGCTTACCAGCTCCAGAAGTGGCCCAAAGGAATCTCACAGGGTTCAACAAGACCAAGTGTTGGTGCTGCACCTGGGTCAAGGCAGCCCCTGGGATCAATCCAGACAGGGGATGAGCAGAGGGAGCAGCCCTGGCTGAAGGACTTGGGGCTGCTGTGGGTGAGAGCTGACCCTGCCCCAACCCAGAGCCCCCCTGTGCTGGGCTGCACCCAGAGCCCCAGGGCAGCAGGGCAGGGGGGATTCTGCCCCTCTGCCCCTCTCTGCTGAGCCCCCTCTGCAGAGCTGCATCCAGCCCTGGGCCCAGCACAGGAAGCACAGGGAGCTGCTGGAGCCAGGCCAGAGCAGGGACACCAAGGGGATCAGAGGGATGGAGCAGCTCTGCTGGGAGGAAAGGCTGAGGAAAGTGGGATTGTTCAGCCTGGAGAAGAGAAGGCTTTGGGGTGACCTCATTGTGGCCTTGCAGTGCCTGAAGGGAGCCCACAAGAAAGATGGAGAGAGACTCTTGACAAGGGCCTGGAGTGACAGGACAAGGGGCAATGGCTTCACATTAACAGAGAGGAGGTTTAGATTAGAATTTAAAAAGAAATTCTTTCCTATGAGGGCAGTCGGGACATAATGGTGAACAGTTTGTCCAGAGCAGCTGTGGCTGCCCCAGCCCTGGCAGTGTCCAAGGCCAGGCTGGACAGGGCTCTGAGCAACCTGGGAAAGTGGAAGGTGTTCCTGACCATGGCAGGGGGTTGGAACTGGATGGGCTTTAAGGTCTCTTCCATCCAAACCATTCTATGAGTCTATGCATTGAAAAAGACACCAAATTCAACTTTGCTCCCTTACTCACAACTTCCAAGCCCTTTCAGATAGTACCAGACCCACAGCTAGGTCTTGCATTTCTGTTGGGGACTACACTTCAGCCATGGCTATGAATGTATGTTTCCTTCCCTAATTTTTATCAAGCTCAAGACATCTGATATTGGTTTATGCTCTATTATTCCTCTACTGAAATAATGCCCACAAAACCTTGTGCCAGCATAGCTCAAGGTCCTAAGCTTGTGTCTATAATTGTGGTGGGCAGAAGTGATTTGTTTTGGTAGGTCATTATTATTTCAGTCCTTGGCTCCATAAGGAAGCTCAGTAGCTGTTTCTCTTTAAAAAGAGCTATAAAAAGTACAGCAGTGATCTGGCCTTGAGTCACCTTGAGGTCTACACTTAACAGTATACCTGAGAGTAGAATCTGACATATAAAGGAATGGCTTTCTCTAAGGGCTGTCAAGACATATTCTATGGTGACTTTTTATGATGGTACTCTAATGTCTGGATCAGGCATATGAGCAGACTGAAGGTTTCTCTTTTTCTGCAGCCTTTATTTCCTTATTGGACAACTATGAGACATCAACTGGTGTAGCAGAAGTAGTGACTCCAGAAGAAATAGTTGAAAACAACTGTTTCCTTGATGCTATCTTAGCAACAGAAGTCATGAGAGTGAGTAACACAGATCTTTTTTGTCACTGAAAACACTGATTAAAAAGTAAACTGTATATGTATCTTGCTTTTCTACCCTTCAGCTAGCTCATGACTATCTGCTAAAAAAAAACCTAGCAAGGCCAAACCTTGCAGATTTCAAACATCAGCTTTATGACATCTGGTTCCAGCTCTATGCCAGGAGAGGAGGAGACAGGTATGTTTGATGGGTGTGGGCACTGATAATCTCTGTGCTATTCTGATTTAGGTAAATGTAAGCCCGAGTGCCATCTGCTACCCATAGAACTGGAAGACAACTTCAGAATAGCTTCAGCATGACAGAGAGTGGGTTTAGATTGGATATGGGGAAGAAATTCTTCCCTGTGAGGAAGAATTCCTGGTGAGGCCCTGGCACGGGTTGCCCAGAGAAGCTGTGGCTGCCCCATCCCTGGACATGTCCAAGGCCAGGCTGGATGGGGCTCTGAGCAACCTGGGATAGTGGGAGGTGTCCCTGCCCATGGCAGGAGGTTGGAATGAGATGGGCTTTAACATCCCTTCCAAATCAAACCATTCTATGGCTCTATGAAACATATAAAATACCTATATATTATTGTTTTCTTCTTCATTACAGACCTGATTCTTGTGGTTTTGAACATGTTTTTGTTGGAGAAACAAGGCATGGTAAAGAGATCTTAGGTTTGCACAACTGGGTGCAGTTTTACCTTCAGGAAAAGCGCAACCAGATTGATTACAAGGGATACATAGCTCAGAAGAACAAAACCAGGGTAAGAACAAACCTTTGGGGGCCTTTGCAAGTAAGACAAATGGATCCAGAGATAAAAGTTGTAATGAAACAAGTGTAATAATGCAGTCATAGGCTCAGTGTTTTGAACTGCAATAAGTATATATAGTATGTAACTGTGTATAAGAAGAATGAACAATTACATGTCTTCCAGCTTCTTTTTTTGCAAAAACTATTTTAAAAAGTAGTGCTGGTGTTTACAGAATTGCAACACTGCTGAGGCTTAGTTGGGATAAATGATCATGTATGCTCCAGAGGTCAGGAAAAAGATTGTGCCCAGCTATAGCACCCAGGCACACCAAGGATGACTAAATCTTACAAAGCTCTCAAAAATCTAGAATCAGAAATTCTATCTGTCCAGTCACAGCTGTATTGGAGATTATTCTGTTGTTTCATTTATGCTTTCAGCCTGATAAAGATGACCAAGTTTTGAGCATCCAGTTCAGCTGGAAGGGCTCGGTCAAGCCAGTCGGAAGTACCTTTATTGGTGTCAGCCCGGAGTTTGAATTTGCCCTTTACACAGTCATTTTCCTGCTGTCTGAAGAAAGAGTCACACGTGAAACAGTGAAGATAGATGAGTACGAGCTACAGGTGGTTGTCTGGCGCCATGGGCAGCACATTGGAACAGCATATCCAGTACTGCTCAGCACCACTAGTGAAGATTAGTGGAGCGAGCAGGAAACTTCTTTTTTTTTAATTGAGGGAAAGGAGGAGTGTGGAGAGAGGAGGAATGGATGGGGGGTGGACAGGACCAGACAGCAAAGTTAATATGTTGTTTTATACAACTCATTTCAAGTAAAAATTGATGACTCTGTCTCTTTTGGTCTGCAATGGAATGTTTAATCAGTAGTGTGCTGTGACATTTTCTGAGAAACCATGAAACATACGCCTGCTCACATTAAATTTACATCTAAATTACATCAGTCTTCCCTTCTACATGATAGCACTGTACTTTTCAGCAAATAATGGCATTTAGGAAAAGGTTCTATTAAAATTGATATACATATTTCTCTTGGTTTTTAGTCACTGCATATCTAAAAAAGCAATAACCACACATTGCTTACACTTTACCTTCCAGACAGAAGCTTTGATTTGGCACAGGCAGAACTCCAGGATGTGTTAATCTCTTCTCATTCCATAAGAGGGTAATTTCAAATGCATTATTACAATACAATGACCTGGACACACAGGGAACACATTTAGGTGAGGAGATGGTCATCAGGTCCACAGCAAGCCTTAAAATATTTTGTTTCTTTAACACAATTTTCATATACTCCCTATGTATTCCTGAAACACCTGGATGACAGCTTCATGCTACAGGTCCTAAGAAGGACTCAGAAAGATGCCCTCCCTCCTTGATTTGTTGCTTGTCAACAGAGAGGATCTTGTGATCCCCTTGAGTGGAGATTGGTGGCTGTCTTGGCCACAGTGGCCATGAAGCCATTGAGTTTAAAATATCTGGCGACAGGAGGAAAAGTGCCAACAAAACTTCAAACCTGGACATTGGAAGAAGCGACTTCAGGCTGCTCAGGGAACCAGTAAGTAAAGTCCCCCGGTGTAGTGGTTTTGGTTCATCAATTTGAGATTTTTGAAATCTTGAATTTGAGATTTTGAGAAAAAAAATTGAGGGTTTTTTTTTTCCTCAAAATTTGAGGTTTTGAGATTTGTGAAGTGATTTGAGAACCAACACACCTGGGAAAATGCTTTTGAAGGTCCTCGGATCCATCAGTGCTGTGGTCACTTTTTAAGCACCAGCTCCTGAGGGCACAGGAACAGGCAATTCCTAAAAAGTGGAAATCAAGCAGATGAGGCAGAAGGCCACCTTGGCTGAAGAGGAATCTTCTTTTGGAGATAAGGTAAAAAAGGAAGGGGTATGCCCGGTGGAAGCAAGGTCAGGTGATATGGAAGGAGTACGGAGATGCTGCTTACCACTGTAGTGGGAGAACTTGTGTGGCCAAAGTTCCACTGCAGTTGAAGCCACCAGAAATGTGGGGGATAATAAAAAGAAGGTTTAAAATACATTAGTGGCAAAAGGCAGTGCTGAAAGGACATCAGCCCATTACAGGATGAGGATGGTCACCTCACAAACAGGGCCATGGACAAGGTAGAGATGTTTAAGGCTTTCTTTCCCTCTTCATTGTCTTCAACAATGAAGATGGACTAAGGAGGTCCCAGCACCCTGAGCTGAAGGACTGTGACTATGAGAATGGTAAACTCTGAGTTAATCCTGAAGGTGTTAGGGATCTGCTGCCCCAGCTGGATCCCTCTAGGTCTATGGGGTATCACAGGAGTAATGTGAGAATACATAAAGACTTGGCTGATATCATCATGAGGCATCTCTTGATAATTTTTGAACAGTCTTGAGAATCTGGAGAGGTCCTAGTTTTCAAAGAGAGCATGAAGGATGACCCTGGAAGCTACAGGCCTGTGAGTCTCACTCCAGTGCTTGGTAAAATTATGGAGATGATGACCATTATTCTGGGAGGTATTGAAAAACACCTGAAGGACAACACAGTCATTGGTCACAGCCAACACATCGTGAGAGGAAAGTCCTGCTTTTCAAAACTAAATTCCTTTTATGCTAAGGTAACCCACCCAGTTGATCCAAAAACATCAGTAGATGTAATATTTTTGGATTTCAGTAAAGCTTTGGATATAATTGATCTCAGTGAGCAGCCCACAGCTGGATAAACACATCATGTGATGGCTGAGCAACTTGCTCCTGGGTCGAGCACAAAGAATCACAGTACCTGGGTGACAGCAGACTGGCAGCCTGTCACTTGTGGGGTTCTACAGGGCACCATCTAAGGTCCCGTTCTCTTAAAAATCCTCATAAAAAGCAGAAATGCAGGACAGAAAGGGATACTAAGTAAGCTCGCAGATGATACAAAACTGGGAGGAGCTGCTGACTCCCTCAAGGGTGAAGAGGCTCTGCTGAGAGCCCTGGTCACCAGTTGTGTGAAGCTAACAAAAGCAAGGGCTGGATTCTGCACCTTGGGTGGGACAAACCTGGATGTACAGACAGACTGGGAATGAGAGGCTGGAGAGCAGTGTTGTGGAAAGGGACCTGGGGGTTTGTAAAGCTCATCTCTCAGGGCCTTTCGGGTCCCATCTCGCTAGCTTTGGACCCTGGCCCCTCACAGCCTTACAAGGACAAAAGTGAGACTTGAGGTGCTCTTCTCCTCGGGACCAAAAATCACATAGTTTTATTGTGGAATTACTCCAGGGGGTCCAAGGGAGGAAAGAGGACCAGAGGAAAAAGAGACCGATTGTGTGATAACGGGGATTTTAAATCCAGGGGAAGGGAGCGGAGAAGAGGGAACACAGCCAATGGGATACAAGTGATGGGAGGGGCAAGGGGAGAGGGTGGAAAAGAGGGAACACAGCCAATGGGACTACAATTGATGGGAGGGGCAGGGGAAGGGGGCGGAAAAGAGGGAACACAGCCAATGGGATACAATTGATGGGAGGGGCAAGGGGAGAGGGTGGAGAAGAGGGAACACAGCCAATGGGATACAAGTGATGGGAGGGGCAAGGGGAGAGGGTGGAGAAGAGGGAACACAGCCAATGGGATACAAGTGATGGGAGGGGCAAGGGGAGAGGGTGGAGAAGAGGGAACACAGCCAATGGGATACAAGTGATGGGAGGGGCAGGGGGAGAGGGGTAACCTGGGGAGAGACCTCCGCGAGGGCTTGAGGGGGGAAAGATCATGTGATATAAGAGGGGAATCCCATGAGGATACAAACATACTATTCAGTGCAAAATACCAACCCAGTGCAAAACAACAACTAAATAAACTAGTGCAATACAAAAGGGGTTGATGGCCAGTCGGACAAGGGCCAGCAGTGCCCTGGCAGCCAGGAGGGACAGCCCTGTCCTGGGGCACTGGGCCCAGCATGGCCAGCCAGGCCAGGGAGGGGATTGTCCCGCTCTGCTCTGGGCTGGGGCAGCCTGACCTTGAATATTGTGTGTGTTTTTGGGTGCCACAATATAAGAAAGATCTAAAGCTGTTCGAGAGTGTCTAAAGTAGGGTTTTGGAGATGGTGAAGGGCCTGAAGAGAAAGACACACAAGGAGCAGCTGAGGGCTGCTCAGCTGGAGAAGAGCAAACTGAGGTCAGAGCTCACAGCAGTTCTGCAGCTTCCTCACGAGGGGAAGAAGAGGGGCAGGCCCTGATCTCTGCTCTGTGTGACCAGGGACAGGACCTGGGGAACAGCTGGAGCTGTGTCAGGGGAGGGTCAGGGTGGGTATCAGGGAAAAGTTCTTCCCCCAAAGGGTGCTGGGGCACTGAACAGGTTCCCCAGGGATGGTCACGGCCCCAAGAATGATGCTGTCATGCGCAGGGCGTGATTATTGGAGTGGCCAGGGGTTGGACCCAAGATGGCTGTGGGTCCCTTCCAACACAGAATATTCTGTGAAAATTTCAAATGAACAGAGAGCAAGGGGTTCCTATAGCTGTTGAAAAATCACAAGGGGCTGCTCAGGCTGGGATTCACAGGAGGAGCCATTGGAGAACACCAAGAATGGACCAGCTGAGACATGCTGATGAAGGAGTTCAACCTTCCCTACAGCAACAGGTCTCATATAGGATAGTAAGAGAGGCTGCAGTCAGGTTCTGCTGTAAATTTGAAACACAGGGGATCAGAGGCAGATATCAGGAATGTCAGGTACAGAACCACAGAGCTGTGACACAGAACCACAGAGCTGTGATGCAGCTGCTCTGGGGTGTAGAAACCAACTCTGGGGAAGGTCAAAGGCACTCGGTTCTGGCTGGGGAATGTCCCTGCAGCCAAGGGCCCCCAGGTCACACTGCACGCCTTGACAACTCTTCAGAGTCCTGCTTCATCTTTGCATAGGTGGCAGGGCAGAACTGGGAATAGAGCTGAGCCAGCAGAGCCTGGGAGGGGATCTCTAACTTGGTCCCGTAGCTCAGTTTGTTCCATATGTGCACTGCATAGGTGTTCTTAAGGAGTTTCTGAAGCTCCAAGGCACTGACTGCCTCAAACAGCTTCTTCCAGTCCTGCCAGGGAACAGGATAAACAACTTCTCGGGCAAGAGCACTCACACCTTTGCAGCTCATGCTCATGATAGTACTGAGGGAGCACCACTTCTTGAAGACACGAGTTAGGAGCTCTGGGCCCTGGTACCCCCAGACCCAGCCATTGTAATCCTCCACAAAGTCCTGCATGCAAAGCTCGATGAATTTGTGCTTGGCCTCAAAGGACAGAAAGGCTCCATTCAGTATACTGTCACCCTGAATGCCGAGGGCATTGGTGAGGTTCTGTAAGTTCTTAAGCACGATGAAGTCTGTATCCAGGTAGATGCCACCAAATTTCCACATGAGGACAATTCTGCAGGCGTCAGAGAGGACATGTAAAAAATAAGGCTCCTGTTGCCGCTGAGGCTGCAGGAACCACTGTGCCAGAGGTGTTCCAGAAAAGAGCTCTTGGAAGTCCAGGCGCCGGATTTCCACGTTGGGGAAGCAGCTGAGCAAGGAGAAAGCCCAGTGCTTGGGCAAGGAGGCGTTCCCTTTGGCCAAACCTTTCATGAGCACCACGACTCGTGATGCGGGGTGTGTCCTGGCTGCTGACTCCACGGAGCAGGAGAACAGGTAACTTGGGGCAGTTTGCTCCGAGGTCTCCACAAAAAACACATTTCCTGTGGAAGGAGAGGGCCCACCAGCAATGTCAAGGGGAGAAGGCACATAGTGAGCACAGCTGATCTCAGCAGACAAGCCGTAGGTGGGGACGCTGCTCTTTGGGTCCTCCCCGATGCCCCAGTACAACTTGTGGTAGGCAAAGGATACGAACACAAAGATG